ACAACATCCAGGGCTGTGCCGAATCAAAGCCTGAAGTCAGAAACTCAATGGGGGTCCAATTTAAACAGCAAAAGTAAGTGTACCTGAGTCTTCACCTGCCACCCCACACAATGTGAATTGGCAGGAAGCTGGACTGGAAATGGAATAAGCAAGAACTGAACTGGGCATCCTGATACAGCATCCTAAGCAGTATCTTAACAATAAGCAAAACGGGGCCCGGCGGTGTGGCCTAAAGGCTAAAGTCCTCGCCGCTAAAGTCCTCACCTTGAATGCACCCCAGGATCCCATATGGGCACCGGTTCTAATCCCGGCAGCTCCACTTCCCATCCAGCTCCCTGCTTGTAGCCTGGGAAAGCATTTGAGGACAGCCCAAGGTTTTGGGACCCTGCACCCATGTGGGATACCCAGAAGAGGTTCTTGGTTCCCGGCTTTGGATCGGCTGTTGCTCTCACTTGGGGAGTGAATCATTGAACAGAAGATCTTCCTCTCTATCTCTCCTCCTCTCTGTATATCTGACTTTCCAAAAGATGGATAAATCTTTAAAAAAAAAAAAAAAAAAGTAAGCATAATGCCTGCCCCTTAGAAGCAACTTTTATGGAAATGAAAACTTTACTCAGAAGTGTGTATGGAAGTACCAGAGACCTAAAATGAATACAAGACTATCATTTAAACAAATAATATATGGATGGGAGACCACCTGTATGTCTGAAAAGTAAAGTAATATCAGACCTTTCTTCAGATCAGTTTAAAAATATAACGATGGACCTGGCACGGTAACCTAGTGGTTAAATCACTGACTTTTATGCACCTGGATTCCATTTGGGCACCAGTTCATGTCCTGACTGCTCTATTCCTATCCAGCTCCCTGCTTGTGACCTGGGAAAGCAGTCGAGGATGGCCAAAGCCTTGGGACACTGCACCTGTGTGGGAGATGTGGAAGAGGCTCCTGGTCTCTGGCTTTGGGTCAGAGCTCAGCTCTGGCCATTGTGGCTACTTAGGAAGTGAACTAGGGAATGGAAGATCTTTTTCTCAATGTTTCCTTGTCTCTGTAAATCTGCCTTTCCAATAAGAATAAATAGATTAACAAATAAATAGACCCAGCTACCCTGCTCCTAGAAATATACCCAAAAGAATTTAAAACTACATATGTAAAGGGGATCTGTAATCCTATATTTACAGCAGCACAATCTACAATAGCAAAGACATGGAAACAACCCAGATGCCCATCCAAAGAAGAGTGGCTAAAAAACTGCGGTATATCTGCTCCATGGAATATTATTTGGCCATTAAAAAGGATGAAATATAAAATTAGCAACTAGATGATCCAAACTAGAGACCATTAAGCTCAGTGAAATCAGTCAGTCACAAAACGGGAAATACTATATGCTCTCTCTAATATTAGGAATCTATCATGGAAATTGAAATGTATAGTGGCGCAGTAATGGAGACTACCATACCCAGATGTGAAAACACCATGCAACATGCATCTCTGCTTCCAAACAAAAGATGGACTCCCAATGAAAGAGCTTGCTATTTCTAGACAAATGGACTGTCTGGCATTCTCTGTACCAGCAATGTGGAGGCACACCGAAATAGACTGATAGAATTTTAACTCCTTATGAAGAGTTGTAACATTCTGGGAAAAATCAATCTGGGGGGGTGGAAATTGAGGGGAAGGGAATCCCAGACTATATAGAATTGCATGATAAATTTTAAAATAAAAAAATTAAAAAATTAAAATAAAACAAAAAATAAATAAATAAACAAATAAATCATATTGATGACAGAGCCTGGCCTAAATATGAGGTCTAAAACAATGAAATATCCAGACAGAAACATAAAAAAAAATCTTAACAATCCTCAGTTTGGCAAACATTTCTTAAATACAATATCAAGGGGAAAAAAGGATATGCTTTACCAAAGAAGATATGCAACTAGCAAATAAGTACATTAATAGATACCCTTAATCATTAGAGAAATGCATAGTAGAATTATAAGTAGACATCATTCATTCTCACTGAAGTAGCTAAAATGAAAATAATTGGCTATATCCTGTGCTAAAAAGAATATGGGATAGGGCCTGGTACAGTGGCTTAGGTAGCTAATCCTCTCCTTGCAGGCCAAAGGATACCTTGTGGGCGACAGTTCATGTCCCAGCTCCTCTGCTTCCCACCCAGCTCCCTGCTTGTGGCTTGGTTCTGATCACTGCAGCAATCAGAGGGTGAAACAGTGGGTAGAAGATCTTTCTCTGTCTCTTCCCTTTTCTCTGTAAATCTGCCTTTCTGATAAAAAAATAAATAAATAAATCTGAAAAGAATATGAAACAACAGTTGGAATGTAAAATAGTAGATAATTCTGGAAAATAGTTGGCATTGTTTTTAAAGTTAAACATCTTCTGCCAAACAATGTAGCCATTTTCCTTCTAGGTATTTTCTCAATAGAAATCTAAACATATGTTCATTCAAAGACTCAAATATGAATATTCATGGAATCTTTATTTATAATTCAAAGGTACAATATTTATATAAATTGAATGCAAATACACATAACACTAGTGGATTCTATTTACATAATAGAATATACAAAAAGCATAAGAATAAAACTGACATCATTTGATTATTGTTCATAGCACATGCCTATATTCAGTGTTCTTTCTGATTTCACTTGCTTAACATCATGGTTAGTGATGGGTTAAACCTATGACTATAAAGTAAATTGAGAATATGCTATCACAAAAATTAAAGGAAAAAAGAAGAGAAGGAGGAAAGATCAAAGGAGGGACAAAGGGAAGGAAATGTTACCTTCTCAAAAATACAGGGAATCTGTTTCCTTCATATTAACAAAAATTTTTAATACAAAAAATTAAAAATTGATTTAAAAACATAAGTGATTGGGGAACTATGTCGGGTATTAAGATGGGCACAGAGAAAAGAAGTTATGAATGGTTTATTTTGAGGGATTTTGAGTAATGTCTATATTCATTCTCTGGACTATGATGGTGGTTTTACAGGTATAGAGCATGTCAAAACTCATCAAATTGCATGATTTCAATAAAGGCAATTTGTTACGTGTATATTACATTTTAATAAGGCTATTTTTAAAATGGATTTTTAAAGCTCTAACTCCTAGCAGCATAGAGTCATTCTGACATTATGTAGCACCTACTCCTTGCAGGCATTTCTACTCACTCTGAATCTTGGCCAGAGCCTGATCTCAATAGTCAAAAGCTCCTTATTACCCTTATTCAAGATATTTTCTTACTACCTCTGAAAAACTTCAAATAAATATCTCCTGTCCCAAATGTTCACAGCTACTTCTGCTCTAATTTGCAGTAACAATTATCTTAAAATAGTTCACAAACCTATAAAACATATTTTCTTACTATGTACATACTACTTTTATACATTTGGGTCAGGCTGTGAAGTCCATATCAGCTCTAGCTTATCTCCAACTAAATGTTGAAAGTTCTCTAACATTACCAGCCATAAATTTGATCTTTATTATACACATTCTCCTTATATCATAGTTTGGAATTCCCATATGACATCTAAATTTAAGAAGGAAACAAGCCAGAACATAAAAGCTAAGACAGTATTTTAAATATCTCTAGTTTAGCAACCCAAGTTTAACCAGAACTAGTTTCTCAGGAAACATAAAATGGAAATTACTTGGAAATTCAAAAATACAACATTGGTTTTACAGTCTAAAGTTTCTCAACCTTAAATGTGGTAGATACACAAAAGGGGGTGTTACAGCAATTTTAAAAGAATCTTAAAAATTCACTTAAAATTTCCTATGTTCTTGCTGACTGAAGCAATTAAGAGCTCGACAAAAACGCCACAATTAAAGGATTTCATAGGCTAACAAGGATTTGAATTATTGGAGTTCTCAGTAAACAGAGAAAAATGCTGATCAAATTAAAATGTCTAGTTAGAGAGTCATCTCACCATGTTTGCACATTGTGACTGACTCGTACCTAGACAAAATATTTTCCCAAAGGTTGCCATTTCCATAGAAATATGGAGGTTCTTCAATAACAGACTTAAAGCATTATTATACTTTGATGTTCTTTAAAGTGTTTATTAGTTTATATTACAGCAACTCAATTTCATCTTAAGTTTCTCTTAACAAATACAGAATACAGAAGATCTAAGCCATGCTTCCAATGGACTCATTTTCTCAGTAGAAATTAAATAAAAACTAAACAGAGATGTGGCTTCCAGCCCATGCGGCATATCTCTTCATATTTACATACCTGTTAAAAATACTTCATCTATGGCCATATTCATTTCATTGAAATAGAGATTGTTGAAAGGAAATAAGTGTCCCTGTATAGTCATCAAAACGTAAAATATGCACAAAGATAGGGAAGAGCACTTAGATTGAAGCCAGGAAAGTAATGCTTGTCTCAGAAGAAACTGAATGGAAAGGGAATAAGAAATATGATGAATTATAATAAGTAGAATACCTTAAATTTACTAAACTCAAAATTTAAAGATGAGGACAGATATTGGGAGAGCAAGAAGCATCTCCAACAGAAGCTGCCTGCATTTAGGAAGCAAAGACAGACAAAATATGACTGTCTAGTAGACTATCCTCGTCAACAGTTTACTGAAGAAAAGACATTCTAAGCAAGGATTTCAATCCTAACTCACTTTATTTTTAAAAAGGCATTTTCGGCCCAAGCACGATAATCTAGCAGCCAAAGTCCTCGCCTTGCATGCGCCAAGATCCCCTATGGGGCTTCGGTTCTAATCCTGGCGGCCCTGCTTCCCATCCAACTCCCTGATTTTGGCGTGGGAAAACTGCTGAGGACGGCCTTGGGACCCTGCACCTGCGTGGGAAACCTAGAAGAGGCTCCAGGCTCCTGGCTTCAGATCGGCACAGCTCCGGCCATTGTCAACAGATGGAAGATCTTTCTCTGTGTCTCTCCTCCTCTCTGTAATTTTAAAAATTAGGTATTTTCCATTGCATAAATTTGAGTGAAAGTAGCATTTTTGAACTGTAATAGTTTTTATTGTTCATTTTTCAACTTACATTTCAAGTATTTGAGTTTCCTTCATTTACCCTATTCACAAAGCTACTTCCAGGTGCCTACACTTTTCTTAAATATGCTATTGCAGAACCTTACAGTTTTCTGATGACTGCCTTAGGTGGGACCTGACCGCATCTCAGGAGGAAGCATTTTTTATTTCTACACGAATGACACCCTCAACTTCAAGAGATGGAATCTCTATATCCTCAGCATTAGAGAAATCTAGCGAAATATCGTCAGATTTTGGATCAGCTCTCGCATCACTTGATCCTTTTTCCCCTGCGATGTCTGCTTCCAGGGAAAACTGCAATTCAGCAAGCACTGACTCTACTAGAGCCTCATCTGCAGATTTCTGTTCCGATGAAGGCTGATCTTGGACATAGATCTCTTTTATGAAAGCCTCCTCAACAGGTGGAGTGGGGATTTTAGTGGGGGCTTCCTTTTGGGGAACCTCCTGAACTTCAGCAGAGACCTCTTCTATAGCAGCCTCTTCTGCTAGGACATGCTCAGCTGATGGAGACCGACCTTCCGGCCATTCCTCCACAGCCACCCCAGCAGCTGGAGGAGACTGTCGGTCTGCAGAGGCTTCTTCCACGTGGGACTCGCGGGTTGCTGGAGACTGGACCCCCGCGGGGATCTCTTTTCTAGGGGCTGTTGGAAGGTCAGCATAAGGCTCTTCCACAGAAGCCCCCTCACCTGGTGGAAGGAGAACTTCAGCTGGACCTTCTTCGGCCGAGGCCTCCTGGTTTGATGGAGGCTGAACCTCAGAGGGACCTTGTTCGACCTGGTCCACTTCTGCAGCAGCTTCCTCTGCTGGTGGAGGTGGAGCTTCAGCAAGGGCTTCTTCTGCAGGAGTCTCCTCAGCTAATGGAGGCTGGATTTCATCTGGAGCTTCTTCCACAGGAACTACTTCTGCAGGAACCTCATTGGGGGGTGTAGATTGGACTTCCGCGGAGGCCTCTTGTGTGGGAGCTTCTGAAGCTGGTGCAGACAAGCTTTGAGCAGCAGTATCTTCTTCTACAGAAAGCTTAACGTCCTCATTCAGCTCTCCTCTCGGCACTTCCTCCACCAGTGGAGGCGGCATTTCAGCAAGAGCCTCCTGGGCTTCCGGGGACTGACGTTCAGTGGGACCTTTTTCAGCAGGTCTCTCTTCGGCAGTAGCATCCTCAGCTGGTGGAGATTGACCTTCAGCAGGGGCCTCTTCAAGGTTATCCTTAGCGGATGGAGATTGAGCGGGGATGTCTTCTTCCTCAGCGAAGACGCCTTCTTCCGGAATCTCTTCAGGTGCCGGAGACTGAATTTCAGCAGGCTCCAACGTAGCTGAGATATCTTCAAGAGCATACTCAGTTGGTTGAGCCTGTATTTCAACTGGAGATGCGTTGTCTGGGGAAAGTTGTAATTCAGCAGGATACTCTTCCGGAAGAGGCTTCTGACCTGGTGGTTCATCTGCGTGGATCTCCTCAGGAGGAGGCTGCAGTTGGACAGGGGTCTCCTCAGCAGGGCTCAGTTCTCCTTTATCAATGGCCTCCTCAACTGAAGGAGGCTCGGCTTCATTAAATGGGTCCTCTACAGTGGATAAGTGTAATGTACTGAGAGCTTTTTGTACCTGTGGCATCTCTACTGTACCATAAGAACCCTCTTCTTCAACAGGTACCTCTTGCCTAGATTTGTCTGGTAAAGGTATCACAGTATCATTTCCAGTTTCCTGCGTAAGTGAACACATGCTGACATTTTCTTGTCTGATTAATTCATAGCTACTTGTTGCAGGCTGCAATTCAGGAGGCTCATCAGGAAAAATCTCTCCTGAGGGTTTACATTTCTGGGCACCTTGGTTTGAACTTGTTAAAGAATTACTTGGCCTGGAAATAGCCACCATTTGTGCTTCAGTAAAGGATGTCTGCTGTCCTTTGTCCACTTTCTCTTTGGGGGGAATGTTCATTGTGGTCCAGTCTCCAGTACAACTGGTCTGCTGAGACCTGTCTATTTTTTGATGAATTGAGTGCCTGCTTGATGGAATTTCGGCTTCTTGAACACTCTCTTGCAATTCAGCGGCTGCTTCTCCAGCACTAGCTCCCCTTTCTTCAGGTGCTACTGTCTCACCAGTGAGCTTGACTTCTTTTTCCTCTTGTATGAGGTTGTCTGTCTGCAGAGATCTATCAATCATTTCATGTCCATGCCTTCTCTTCATCCAAGTTTGTTGAAGTTGGGAAGATATTCTAATAGACTCATATTCTTTGGCACCGTAGTTGCTTTTGCAACCAGGAATATGACCAATACTGACAGTAGTTTTGGGACCAGATGATGGTGGCAATGCAAACTGTTTCTTTTTCTCCATCACTTCAGTCTGCTGTGATTTGTCTACCATTGGTTGGCTAGGTCGTCTTCTCTTTCGAATTTCTTGTCTCCCTGCAGAGATAGGCTGGTCAGGTTCATCACTTTCTTCCATTTCTAAGACTCTGAATTGGAGATATACTTATCTTGAAGTAACTAATCATCAAGCATCACAAATGAACCAGATGGTTAAGTCTTGCTTTCCTTCATTAAGTGTTTATATGTTGAACTCCTTCAGAAAAAGATAATCCATTGAATCCTGTACTACACTCTTGCTGGATCCCATCTTACGCAGGAATCATCGTTCTTGCTTAACGTCTGCTATAACTAAGTAGAAGGTTTACATGTAGAATCTTCCCTCAAGCTTCTATGACATCACAGAAAATTCTCTGTACAAAGTTCTTTCATAGCATTCGCAAAACTTTTAAAATTTGGTTGTATATTTGTAGGTAAACAGCTATAAAACAGACATCTGCTTTTTGAAATGAATTTTTAAAAAGCATTTGTTCACCAAAGAATTATCAACAACAGCAATGCTACTTTGCAATTGTTGCAGTTGGTACTTTCAAAATTTAATTCTGCTCTTTTCATCTTAATATAAAATATGATTATAATGCAGAACTCAGAATGCTGCAGCCTAGTTTCTTTTTTTTTTTCAAAGAACAAGTGCAATTTTAATTTTAAGAGACACTCACAAAATACCCTTAAGTTTTACTTCATGGGCTAGGAATACCTTTGCCTAACTCTAACTGCATTTGAATCTATCATCCTCTTTTAGCTTTTACCTTAGGTTGACATGACGTTTAACACTACCCAGATTGAAAGGTGAAATGCAGTAGGAGAAACAAAACCAAAAACCTACTTTGGCTTGCTTATCTCTGATAACTCAAGAGTTCGAGCATTTTTATCTTTTTGTTTGGACATTGTTGCATGTTCTGTGACTTGTTATTTTATACACGAGAGTACTTCAAGACATTCTTTGGAAAATCAAATCAAATTTTTTGCTACAAAATTTTGTCTTAAATCCATGCATGGTTGCTTCCTAATATGTATTTTCCTGGGGGCTGCACCACACATAATGGATAAAAGCTGCTGTCTGCAGGGATGGTATCCCGTACGGGCACCAGTTCATCTTCTGATTGCTCCATTTCCAATCCAGTTTCCTGCTAATGCTCTTGGGAAAAGCAGTGCAAGGAGGACCAAGAGTTTGGGCCCCTGTCACCAGTGCAAAAAACCTGGATGAAATTCCTGGGGACCCGGCGGCATGGCCTAGCGGCTGAAGTCCTCACCTTGAACGTGCCAGGATCCCATATGGGCGCAGGTTCTAACCCTGGCTGCAGCCTATTTTCACTTGTGTAAAACAACTAATAGTACATAGGTGGGAATATTATATCTATCTGTCCATAGATACAGATATCTGTCTATCTCTAGATATCTATACATAGATCTATCAAGTCATATACATCTTGATGTATATATATGTACATATATGTGACTTTAGTAAAAGGCGAAAGATTTATTCGCTCTGAAGAGAAACCAGAGTATACATATATGTGACTTGAAAGAAAATTAATACTAGCTGAAAGACGTGAATCCTATCATTCATCTCCATGTAAGCTTCCTACATCCTTAATCCTTAGTAACTACAACAGCTTAATGTCAAAAAGCAGAAAGCATGATTTGATTTCCTTCTCAAGAAACTTAAAATATTTTAAAATTTGTTTTCAACTCTTTAAAAAAATATATTCCACTTCTAAAATGTACATAATAAAAGAGTAAGTCTAAATCAAGGGAAATGAAATGCAGCATCTGAGGCAATCACCGCAGACTGCCAAATAATCACAGAGGGAAGAATCCCCCACAAAGATAAGAATGTTAAATTTTGCAGCTTTGAAAAGGAGGAACCCCAGTTAGGCAGACTGTAGATACAATTGCGTTTGATTTAGAACATAGATAAAATGTTCACTCATATCAAAGATGAATTTTACTAGAAAGAACAAAATTGGGAAAGATACAGAGAAAACTAAAGTGTTCTAGCCTGAGGAAACTCGGGGGGTGGGTGGGAATCAACATTTAAAATATTGTTTTTAGGGGCCTGGCAATAACCTAGCAGCCAAACTCCTTGCCTTGCACATGCCCAGATCCATTATGAATGCCAGTTCTCATCTTGGCGGCCCCTTTTCCCATCCAGCTCCCTGATTGCGGCCTGGGAAAGCAGTCAAGGATGGCCCAAAGCCTGTGGACCCTGCACCCATGTGGGAGACCTAGAAGAGGCTCCTGGCTTTGGATTGGCATAGTTCCAGCCATTGCGGTTGCTTGGGGAATGAATCAATGGATGGAAAATCTTTCTCTCTGTCTCTCCTTCTCTCTGTATATATGACTTTGTTCCACTGTATACATATTTGTTCCACTGTATATATATTTGTTCCCCTCACCTCATATTTGTAAGTTTAATCCTAACATGCAGGGTTGTGGTGTTATGATGTGGCAGGATCTTAAGTGATGAACATGCAGTCATCATTAATGAGACTAATGTGCCTTATCAGAAGAGTGAGCTTGATTCTCTCTCCGCCTCCAATATCTGAGGATACAACTAGAAGGTATTCCTCTGCACACTAGGAAACAGGCTCCTCCCCAAACTCTGGATCTGCCAGAACCTTGATCTTGAGTTTCACAGCCTCCACAATGTGAGAAGCAAATGTTTGTTCTTCAAGTTAACCAGGCTAGGACTATATGATCCCCAAATGACTAAGACATTAACAAATTACACTGGAAAACATGCTGCTTCTCCTGCACATTAACCTGCTGTGGCTCATTTCTGTCTTTTCTGAGCCACTAGTCTCCATATTTCTAAGACTTAATGAAGTAAAACAATAGTCACTTTATAAAAAAAAATTGAGATAGGCTTTAATCAAACTTGCTTTGATTTGAAAACTGTCTTATCAACCTCAGTATTCTGCTATTCCTCTCAATCATGTCTGTCAAATATCACATGTGTGTTTCATAGAAATTTCATGTGTTATCTTCAAAGTTTGTTTTACGATAATATGTAACAAGAAATGACCAAATAAACATCTCTTCAATTAGGTTAAAACATTACATGTATTGGGTTAGTTTTGCTTTCTTAACTTAAATCACACTGGCTCTCAGCTCCTAGCAGCTGCTGCGAGGGCTAGTCAACTTGATCTTCTTTTAATGTGGAAGTTCAGTTTTTCAAAGTAAACAAGACAATCTCTTTTCAGTGAGTTGCAACCAGATGTTATCTAATTCATGCATGTGACTCATAATCTCATAGCTTTGTCATTTAATATGACCTGATGAAGCAGTTGACTGCCTCACGATATTTAGAAGTTCTACTCTAAGTCAAGGAAAGAGATTATACAGAGAATGTACTCAAGAAGGGATGGCGTGGCAGGGATTTTAGAGGTCACTAAATAATTTTATCTATCACAGGAAAAAAAAACAGAATTATGAAAATAAGCTGGAGTGCCAGTGAGAAGGAATATCCAAGACAAAACCCAAAATATCATGTATTTAAACAACAACTAGATGACGGCAGGCTAGAAAAATATTATTTCAAATAGGTAATAGATTGGTTAGTGCAGGTGAAGAAAAGAGGACAATTCTGTGCAATTTGGAGTTGAAATCAATAGGAGTTATTGAGTATATTTTATAAATACATGCTATATTTTAGAAATATGGACTAACATGAACATGTTCTTTGATATATATTGTACTTTCAAATAAACCTATTTATAAATACATATCTTCATGTGTGTGCATACAGATGTATAAATGCTTATTATATATATGTATATATATATAAATTAACAGACAACTTAGAGTAGCAGTGGAAATCCTAGAGGAAACCTCAAAATGCACAGAACTTTTGTCCCCTGGCTTCAGGGCCTGCCCCAGCCTCGGGGCTCTCGGAAGCCTTGTGTACATGCAGTTCCCATCTCTGAGATCAGTTGTGCTGGATCTGCCTGATGCCACCAACTGGAACCTAGCTTGAGCATACACATCATAGGGAGACTATATTTATTATTGAAAATACTATATTGGGCCCGGCGCGATGGTGCAGTGGTTAAGGTCCTCGCCTTGCACGCCCGGGATCCCATATGGGCGCCGGTTCTAATCCCGGCAGCCCCGCTTCCCTTCCAGCTCCCTGCCTGTGGCCCGGGAAAGCAGTTGAGGACTGCCCAAAGCTTTGGGACCCTGCACCCGCGTGGGAGACCCAGAAGAGGCTCCTGGCTTCGGATTGGCATAGCATCGGCCGTTGCGCTCACTTGGGGAGTGAATCATCGGACGGAAGATCTTCCTCTCTGTCTCTCCTCTCTGTATATCTGCCTTTCCAATAAAAATAAAATAAATCTTAAAAAAAAGAAAATACTATATAGAGAGCTAGCTTTGGGTTCATGTATAGTTTCTGCTATTTTTACTAGAGAAAACACCTACAAAATATAATTAGATGATTGGGATAGAAAGATATTAGTTTTTCCTGTGGATGCTTTGTGTCTTTCATTTACTTCTGCAACAATTTTTTTATATATGCATATATATATACACACACCTCTCAAATATTAATCCAATTACATGTATGATACATATATATCAGTTCCAGAATATATCAGTAAGCAGTGAATTAATACATATTCAGAAACATTTCTTAAAATATTCTACAATCAGAATCAGTGCTTATGGTAACTATTCAGAAATATTTTAGTATCTTTTGAATATTCATATTAAATTACATATTATTTTGGTGCCTTCTGTTTACTATCTAGACCTTCTGTTTCCTACATTCCATTGCATTCTACATTACACCCCGCACTGTACTCCAGCAGTGTAACCTAAACGGACCATAACAACAGGTGACCTTGCTTTTTGACCTTAACTGGATTCAGGAAGTGGAGTGCACTAAATCTGACAGAGGCAGAAGTGTGAGATTTCCCAGTTCCTCTAGCTGATTTCTCATGAATAATCTCATTAGAGATGGATTCTGCACTTCCTTAGTTTAATTTGCCAAATCAGAGCAGGAATATATTTCTTATTCGTTCAATCGCTTTATCTTGTTTAGGAAAAAATAAATAAATAAAGAACCCTCTTTTTGTG